TTCTTTCATTCCCTAATGCAAAATTTGGTCCCTTCTTGAGGATCTCTGTGGTTTATAGGTCAAGAGGAACAGAATATAGATTCTATACTTTATCTTTATCTCTTCCCTGGACTATGAGATTCGTCATTCTAGAGTCCTCTTCCTTTTTGTCGAGTGGTAGGTCCTAGTCCTGCCTATAGATCCCATATTTATTTAGCTTCTTCTAGTGCCTTTTTTGATTAAGTTCGTTATTCTTTTCGATATTTTGTCTGTCATCTTCTGTATTTTCAAGAAATTCTCCGAGGTCAAAATTCCACTCAAATCATGTCTGAGCCTAGATTTGATCCCCAAAATCTTAAAGAATGTATCCTCTTCCTATCATATGTCTACACTAATTTTTTTGCATGGACTTTATCGGAATGATATATTCTCATAAAATTGCAAAAATTACGAGGAATACTATAACGCTTACAACAGTTAAGAAAGGTCAAATGATAATTGATAATTTTAGACTTTATTGCATTTTTGCAGAAAAATGTCTTTATATAGTCCGTAGATTAATGCCAAAGTCAGGCTCTATATGTAACTGTATCACTTTCCACTGCTCCTAGACTACCTCCTAAAAGCCATACTAGATCGCCCTAGACTGTGTTCATTGGCTTAGGAGCCCTATATTTTTCATTTAAGCTTTTGACAACTAAGATCAACACCGTTGTTTCTGGTGCCGCTCTGAGAATTTTTCCTTGTATGTGTGTATTGAATATTTTTAATATAATAATCGATCTGGGTAATTACACCTAATGACTTTAATTGCTAGAATTAATTCCAAACGTGATGTACACGACTTTTCCTTTTTTCTGATAGTGTTTATTCCTTTTATTATCCTATAGGCGAGTTTTCATAATGTGAAATCCGTAGGCTATACAAGCGGTTCCGATGTAGTGCTCGATGTACCTTAACTAAGTATAACTTGGCATCGTCTGGGTCATTAGCCCAACGCTATCAACTCTTATGAGTGTTTTTTAACTGCACTTTTTGTTAATCTCCAACTCTTGTTTATATTTTCCTTTATTATCTGGATAATGGGAGCCATGCAGCAGCTATAAAGCCCGTTTTAAATCCTACAAAATTATCTTGAAGACTAAAAATCTTTCTTTAACGCTTTCCCCAAAATCTAACCATCTTGCATTGTGGTGATACCTGCCACTTTTAGCTCATACTTTATTGCGCTCAAAGCCTTCTCTTAACCTCAACTAAAAATGCCCTGAGTTTTAGACGAATATGGCAAGTCTCGGTTAAAGATCTACCTTTTAAGCATTAAAAAGTACTAGTCAGTATCTATACATGTGCAAAAGTGCTGCCTGGACGCAGTATCTACCCCCTAGTTTACAACTACTCCGGAAATCTTTCTGTCCTCTCATACTCAATCTCCTTTCATCTCCAGATTGTCTACGAATCTTTTTTTCCTTTGCCCCTTTAGCCGAAGCTTGCTGGTGGACCATCCATCCGGCCTCGAAGCAGCGCTCGGTCGGCGAGAAGGTCAGGATCGGAGACGACCTGATTTTGGTCAGCGTCTCTTCAGAACGCTATCTGGTAAGATTTTGCACGCACTTGGCCGGATCAGATGGTCGTTTGGGCCATAATAAGAGACATGGTGTGACACTGTCCATTGGATCAGTTTTCCCCGTTTTGCGCCTCTTCCTTGACTCCCGCCTTCCCCTATTTTCCCGACTGATTAAACAGACTAGTTTGGCCGAGTGGACATTATGCCCAATTTTTAGTTCACGCCAACAGAGCCAGAGATCAACTATCGACCTGTCCTGAACTATTCCTGTTATTGATTCGAGAAACAATCTGATCCCGCCTGCAGTGTTAAGCTATTTCGCTGGTACTGTTGTCCTCTGTTTCTCTCTCGCGCTCGCGTCGCGACAACCAACACTGTTGGACTAAAACAGACAGACAAGAGTCGCCAATGCACCTGCGTATCCTTAAGGGGTCGGTTTCAGAATATTTTTCTTCCTTTTGTCTGTTTCAAGTATTTATTTTTCCTTCTCTATCTATCGGATC